TAACTTCTCCTGCTTCCGGGGGGCCCCCCGGGGGCCCCCCTGAGGGGCCCCCCGGGGGGTACCCTGTGAGGGCCCCCGTGAGGGCCCCCTGGAGGGGTCCCTGGAGGGACCCCTTGAGGGGCCCCGGGGGGACCCCTCGGGGGCCCCTTGTGGGGCGTTCTGTACCCTTTCTGGAAGAGGGGACTGGGGCAGCTGGGGCCCCTCGTGGGGGGCCCCCGGAGGGGCCCCCCTGTACCTATGCATTAATGGCAAAGGAGTTAAATGATAAAGAATTGCATTTGTGTCCAAAGAAGTCAAAGGAGGCAGCCGTTCAAGAGGCAGAAGGCCCAATGCCTGCAGCAGCAGCAGCAGCAGCAGCAGCAGCAGCAATGGAATTCCTGAGAAAGGACAAACAGCACTTGAAAGAAGCCCCCAAAACCCTTTTATTTTGTGCACAACTCCAGGGGCCTCTAGGGGCCCCCAAAATCGCTTTCAGGCCATTGGGGGGCCCCTGGGGGCCCCCAAGGGAAGCAGGGTCCCCTGGGGTATCGGGGGGCCCCCCTTCTGGGCCCCCTTGGGGGCCCCTCTGCTGCCAAAGTCACCCACCGTGGGGTTTGGGGCCTCGGGGGGCCCCCCAGAGTTTGGAAAGCTGAAGCTTCTGTTGGGGCTGCTGCAGCTGAGGGTACTTATTTGGGTTTGGGGGCCCCCGGGGGCCCCCCAGGGGCCCCCGGGGGCCCCCAAGGAAGCTGCTGAGAGCATTTCCATGAGGGTACGCAGCGGGGTGGACCCTTGCTTCCAGAAAGAAGCTTCAGTGGCTGCTGCTGCTGCTGCTGCTTCCCCACTGCCTTCTGCTGCAGCACCTGCTGTAGCACCTGCTGTAGCACCTGCTGCAGCACGTGCTGCAGCATCTCCTACAGCGCCTGCTGCAGCAGTTGATGCAACACCTGCTGCTGCTTCGTCTCCTGCGCCTGCTGCTGCAGCAGCCCCGAGGGAGGGGCCCCAGGGGGGGCCCCCAGGGGGCCCCCCAGAGGCTGGCAAGCGCGGCAGCAGCAGCGGGAGGGGGGCCCCCTCAAAGTTCCTGCGGCTTCTGTGGGCTCGTTGCTGCTGCTGGTTCAGTCGGTATATATGAGTGCAGCAGGGGAGCCCCTGGGGGGGGGACCCCTGATCTGCTGCTGCAGTTGGGGGCCCCCTGAGGCCCCCCAGAGTCAAAGAAAGTTCTGCTTCGGATAAATCTTCATCTGTTTCCACGTACAAAGACAAATCTCCCGTTGCTGCTGTTGCTGCTGCAGCTGCTGTTGCTGCTGCTGCTGCATCTCCGCCTGACTGAGGTGCTGCGTCCGGGGCTCCTGCAGTGTTTGCTGTTGCAGCAGCAGCAGGAGCTGCTGCTGCTGCTGCGTCTACGTCTGCGCCTGCTGCTGCGTCGGGGCCTGCTGGAGCCTCTGCTGCTGCTGCTGCTGCTGCTTCTTGTGCGGCACCTGCTGCAGCAGGGTCCCCTGCAGCAGAGGCTGCAGCAGCTGCCATGTTTCCCAATAGCTGTTTCCAAACCCAAAGGGCGGACCTAAACCCTAGGCGAAAACCCCTTATCCCTCAAGCCTAAACCCTAAACCCTAAACCCTAGGAAACTAGCTGCAGACCCTAGAATCCCTGGTCCAAGCTCGGAGGGCTCTCTACGCAATCTAATTCCCCTAAGTGGCCTAGGGGGGCCCCTAAACCCTTATTTGCTGCTGCTGGGGGTCCCTGCCAGTGCCTGCCAGGGGCCCCACTTCTGGCTGTTTCTTACCCACAGGGGCCCCCCAAAGCCCCTTTGCCCAGCCCGCTGTGGGGCCCCCAGTGCGCTTTTAGGGCCCAAGGGGCCCCAGGGGCCCCCCTATCCTTTTGTGCGTGGGAGGGCCCCCGGGGGCCCGGTGCCCCTGCAGGGGGGCCCCTGTGCTGCGAAAAACGCCTAAAAAAGGGCACTGGGGGGCCCCCGGGGCCCCTTAATGGCCCCACACTGAGACAGCTAAAGGAAAGACTCACTGGGGGCCCTGTGGGTGCTTCGGGGGGCCCCCAGAGTGTGGGTGGGCCCCAAGGGCTTGCAGGGGCCTCCCTGTGCACCTGGGGAACACTGCCGGTTAAATTGTGTGCTTATTTATTTAGTTTTAAAATATTTAATTTAAATCATTTAAAGGTTTTTAGCTATAATTGAGCTCAATGGCGCGCAGAAACGTAACAGAGAAAGGGGCTTGGAAGGCTGCTGCTGCTGGTACTGCTGTCACTGCTGCTGCTGCTGCTGCTGCTGCTCCTGATGCTGCTGTGGTGTAGCGGGCCCTCAGCTGCTGGCCATATTGGTGGGAAAGCGATTTTAATTATTAAAATAAAAATAGAAATAGAAATAAACTTTAAGTAAAAATAAATTAAAACTTCACGAGCTTTCGGGATGTGGAGGTGGGCCAGAGATCGACGACCAGCAAGCCGCAGCAGCAGCAGCAGCAGCAGCAGCAGAGCAGCAGCAGCAGCGGCTTCCGCAGCT